ATACAAGAATCAAGGTTTTGGAAAATGAAAAGGAGTTCTTCACACTCACACACTCATACACACACAGGCTGTGGATCACTGTCTCAAAGATTCCAAAATATGAGTGGACAGTGATTTCTTTAATGAGATCTTAAGGGAGTAGGAAGAAAAAAAAAAATATATATATATATATAAAAGCACATCCAAAGATGGAAGCACTCCATACAACTCACCAGAGGTTTAATTTTTATCACATGAAGAAAGAGCCATACATCCTTAAGCCATTTCTCTTTCCAAGATGCCTTCTGTCATAAGTCAGTATTTTGGGGGTAGGAATAAAAACTCCTTATAAGCAATCTGCTCTCACATGCTTTAATATTGTGAGAAGATGACCGTGAAACATGGACAGGAAAGTACCAAAGTCTTGGCACAGATCAAGAATTTAACGTTATCATCAAACAACTTATACAGAATTAACCAGACATACATATCGAGATCTGCAGTTACTATTGTATTATATGATAAATGTCTGTAATTTGTGTGACTTTCCACAGCCAAAATAAGTATTTCTGGAATTAGCTCTTTAGGGGTGAAGGTAAGAGGGAATAAATAAAGTAAAAAGTTCTTCTGATCCATCAGAAGACACCTGATTGATTTCAAACCCAGGGAACCTGCCAGTGTGTCCCAAGAGAGTAGGGCTCACGACTCCTTTTCCCTTTTGTTCCTCCCAGGGCTAGTCACCTGGTAAGAAGTTGCCAATTGCAAATAAGAGTGTGTGCTTGCTGGATGTCTTCTGTTTGCTCTCTTGACCCACCTTCTACCATTCCCCACCTTCTTCTTTGCCTCCAGAAGGGAGCATCCTGGACTGCACCAACAAGCTACTTTGTCCTCTGGCTTGTCCTTGGATTCAGTCAGTGGGAGGTACCCACAAGGTGACTTAGAAGGCAGAGGGGGAGTGAGGTAAGGGTATGTATTTTCCCGGTTCCTTTGTAGCCAGATCTCTGTACATTAGCTGTGTTCCTCTATCAAACATAGCTACAAACGCCCACTCTAAGTTAGAGTTTTGATAATGGCTCTATCACTTGGCTTCTTTTGGCCTAAGATTGGGACAGTTTCCCAGGGTTCCTAGCCCACACTTTTGTAGTTCATTAAACTCTCCCCAGTCACCCAGTCTGAGTAGCCATCTGTTTCCTGTCAGAACCTGACTGATAAGAGGTTTACTTAGGCTTTGGAAACAGGCAATGGGTGTGGACAAATACATACGTGATGGGAGTAAGATAAACAGCTGAAATGGATAGCATGACCAGGGCTCCAGAGGCTGCATCCCTTGCCTCTAGTCCAGTGTACAGCAAATAGAAGGGGAAGGCTTTCAAAGGTCAGTACTATAAAGGTCAACATTTACTTCAAATGCTCCCTCCCAAAAACCATAATATGATCAAGCAAACCATTAGTTAAAGATATAGAAACCTAACTAATGACTCATTTTTTATTTTTTGAGACAAGGTCTCACTTTGTCACCCAGGCTGGAGTGCAGTGGTGTGATCTTGGCTCCTTGCAACCTCTGCCTCCTGGGCTCAAGCAATCCTCCCACCTTGGCCTCCTGATCAGCTGGGACTACAGGCATGCACTTTTATGCCTGGCTAATTTTTACATTTTTTTTTTGTGGAGACAAAAGTCTCACTAATATTGCCCAGTCTGGTCTTGAACTCCTGGGCTCAAGCCATCTTCCTACCTCAGCCTCCCAAAGTCTAGGGACTATAGATGTTAGCCACTGAGCCCAGTCAATTATTGACTCTTTTTTGTCTTCAGTCATTTGCACCGGGGGCTCCCTGTCATCCATTGAACTGGTTAGCGCCTATTCATTCCTTAAAGTCTCAGTTTAGAAGTCAATCTCTCAACACCAAATAGCATATTGGTGATGGAGCCAGGCCTTAAACCTAGGTCTTCCACCTTGAAAGGTGTAATAGGCCGGGTGCAGTGGCTCACGCCTGTAATCCCAGCACTTTGGGAGGCTGAGGCAGGTGGATCATGAGGTCAGGGAATCGAGACCATCTTGGCTAACACAGTGAAATCCCATCTGTACTAAAAAAAAAATACAAAAAAATTAGCCAAGCGTGGTGGCAGGCACCTGTAATCCCAGCTACTCGGGAGGCTGAGGCAGGAGGATGGTGTGAACCTGGGAGGCGGAGCTTGCAGTGAGCCGAGATCGCGCCACTGCACTCCAGCCTGGGTGACAGAGTGAGACTTCACCTCAAAAAAAAAAAAAAAAAAAAAAAGATGGAATAGAGGTCTTCTATCTCTATTAAATGCTACCTCTATTTACATATTTAGAGTGATGCCATTACCACAAGAACATTAAAATTGCATCTCAATTATAGGCAAGAGGCTCCTCTTTTTAAATTAGGCTTCATGGGATATATTTTTGTGACCTACCTTTCAAGAATGTCCAATAGTCTGATGTAAATCCTTCTCAAACCACTGAGACCATCCCTTATAAGACAATCTCTAATAATAAAAGTACCAGGTTTTTGTCCAGATTTAGATTTCTCATGTGACAGAATATACTGAGGCTAACTGTAAAAGCATGAAATAAACTGTAAAAGCATGAGGCTAACTGTCTGCATGAAATATTGACATATTATCAAATCATTACTGTTTTCTTGCTAGAAATTGGATGAAACAAATATAATCCTTAATATTGTTTTATTATGTTGACTTTTAAACCAACTCTTCTAATTTAATTTCATTAATATCAATTTCTATCTGAAAAATGATTAATCTCAAACAATTTAAAGTGAGATCGATTGTGAAATATCAGCTAAGGTGAAAAATCCCTGGTGAGGACAAAGATCTGTGATTATAATGTCAGATGCTTGGTGAAAAATTGCCTGAATTTGATTGTCCACTTACATTTCTGTTTCCTAAAGGCTCCACATTTCTATACTGCTAAGCTTACCACGAAAGTAATTTTTATAAATGTTTCAGATTCAGAGGCATTAACATTCTCTACAATGCTTCTTTCGATGATGGAAATGCATTACTTCATAATTAGAATCAAGAAGTCATTTCTAACTTGATACTATTAATAAAACTCAGATTAAAAAAAATCAGTTTAGTTATCCATAGCTCTGTTTTCTGAGATTTCCTGGTTTCCGATGAGATAACCTAAACTTAGAAAAGGCAATCTTTCCATCCATGAAATAATTCATCACAGGATGGGTGTTCTTTTTATTGCTGAACTATATGCAGGTAAAATTAAAACACTACTTCTCTAATATATTTTCACTAATTCTATAATACTAACTAAACTGTTAGGAAAGTAAATATTTTTAAAGAGCCCAAATGACCTAGAACTAGAATATATGAAATATAAAACACAAAACACATTATTATCAAGCATACAAAATAATCAATGAAAAAGACTATGAGGCTACAAACCAAAATGTTAACAGAAGTTATCTCCTTGTGATTACGGGTAGTATTGTTTTATTTTACAAATGTTCTTCAGTGAACATATACTAATAAAAATAAATATTTCCAAAGAAAAAGTATTCACAATAATTTATAATAAAAAGTAGAAACTGGAATACAAAGTGGTGTGCTATGATTATAACCTTGTAAAAGCATGTACATATATGGGCAAAAATAACGGTAACAGAGAAAAGAAAAAACACTTGATTTGCAAGGTACTGGAATGGTGGTTGGTTTTTTTTCTGTTACTGTCAGAACGTTGTTTCCAGGGAAAGAAGAAGGTATTACATAAAAGGAATAAGATAACAACACTAAGCCAGCCCATGAGGAGAAGTGGCACATAGGGCATCCACAGCAATGAACAGCATAGCCTCACAGTACACGTGATAGTATTTGATCCAAGAAAACTGTTCCACTGGTTGTGGTTTACTTTGTTTATTGTCTTTTATGGGGGCATGAGCAAAGGGGCTTAGCAGGTGTGCATAAGCTAGAAGTACTGAAGAATAGATTGCTGAAGCTATTTTTCTCTACTGTAAATTAGTGGATGTGTTAAGTAGGCAAAAACTGAAATGGGGATAATCTGGTCTAGAGATTTTGTGTGTGTGTGACAGGGTCTCGCTTTGTCACCCAGGCTGGAGTGCAGTGGTGAGATCACGGCTCACTGCAGCCTCACCCTCTGGGGCTCAGGAGATCCTTTCCCCAACAGCTTCCCAAGTAGCTAGAACTACAGTTGTGTGCCACCACGCTCAGCTAGTTTTGCATTTTTTATAGAGATGGGGTTTCACATTGCCCAGGCTGATCTCAAACTCATGGACTCAAGCAGTCTACTCGCCTTGGCCTCTCAAAGTGCTGGGATTACAACTGTGAGCCACTTTGCCCAGCCAGCTCTAGGGATTCTTTATTGCCAATGAAGCTTTATAGGTGGATAAAACTTTATCTGCATAAAATCCTTTGGGTATGAGTTATTTTGGTTAGCTACACAAGTTTCTTAGTGTCTGGAGGCTTGTCGTTTTTCTTTTCTTTTTTTTTTTGGAGAGTTGCACTTTGTCGCCCAGGGGAGGCTTGTCTTTTAAAGTTTTAAAAAACCAATTAAGATGAAAATATTTCTAAAATTTACCTTTTAGAAGGAGACAATTCAATTTTTTTTAAACATTTCTTTTAATGCCCCAGGATAATCATTACTCATATTGATTATTATGTTATTAAGCTTCTGTTGAGGTGTGTATATGACTGTATTCCTATTTTGAGGTTCAGGATGACTAGATTTTTTGTTTAGTTTGCTTTTTTGAATTTTTTTCTTTTTATATTTAAGGAACAGGTTCTTAGTGAGGGCTCACAGAGCTGTATTATGAGTAAAAACATAGGATTTTGAGTACACAGACTTTGAAACATCAGATTTTGTCTTTCTTTGTGGTTCTCATCTGTTGTTCAGACAGACGCAGCTGCTAGACAGCTGAGATACAGTTAAGTGAAGGGTCACCAGATAGGAAAAGATGACTTGACCATAGTTTCCCAGTGTAATACTATAATCTCATCTTTCACTGAATTACCTTTGGTCATCAGCTCCATTTTGACTGCTGTTCAAGACAATTCTCCAAAGATCTGAAGATACTAATTTCTTCTGGTCATTCACAAGATTGACATCCGGCAACTGCAGTTCACAAACTTTGCTTTCAGACAGACTAAATTCTCTAAATGCAACAAAAACCTTCTGGAGTTCATCCCAGTATTCCAAGCTACAAGGAACCTATGTTAAAATAAAAAAAAATTTAGAAGTTGCAAATAGAAACTATGCTTTTATATTTGTTGAAATTCATATTAAACCTTTATAAAAGTTATAGCATTAAGACCTTTAGAGGAGAATAAGGTTATAAAAGACAGCAGTTTAGGATTTCTTTTCATATTATTATATATTCATCCTGTTTATTTTTAAAGAACAATTCAATAATAATACATACAAACAGCCAAAATTTTAAAAGTAATAATGGAGAACAAATTCTGCAAGGTGTTAAATGTATTATAAACCCATAATAAGTAAAAGATAAGGCTAGTGTAGTAACATACAAATAGATTAAAAGAATACAATAGCAGAGAAAGGGCTAAGTACAGACAAAATCTTACTATGTAATGAAGGTGCCAGCCAGGCACAGTGGCTCGTGCCTGTAATTCCAGCATTTTGGGAGGCTGAGGCAGGCAGATCACCTGAAGTCAGGAGTTTCAGACCAGCCTGGCCAAGATGGTGAAACCCTGTCTCTACTAAAAATACAAAAATTAGTTGGCCAGCCATGGTGGCATGCACCTGTAATCCCAGCTACTGGGGGAAGCTGAGGCAGGGGAATTACTTGAACCCAGGAAGCAGAGGTTGAAGTGATCAGCGGTCACACCAGTGACTGTACTCCAGCCTGGGCAACAGAGCAAGACTATGTCAAAAAAAAAAAAAAAAAAAAAAAGGTAATGAAGGTGCCACATCAAATAAGTAGGAGAAAGATGGAAAATGAAGTTTGCAAAAACTGACTAGTCACTTGGTAAAACCAAGTGGGTCCCTACATCATTCTTTACACAAAAGTAAACTCCAAAATGATAAAATTGCTGAAGGCTAAGAAGTGAAAGTGTAAGAGTGTAAGAGAAAAAAACATGCTAATATTTCAAAAATGTTATAATAGGGTAGACTTTTGTATGTATGGCATGAAACCCATGACAAAATCAAAATTAAAACAGTCAACTGGGATAAGACAGGTAACATTCGATGACAGGTGAAGGAATATTCATTCTGATAGGAGACAGCTCTTATAAATCAATGAGAAAATGATACATAATCACAGAGAAAAGACAGATTTTACAAGTTCCTCAACTGTGCCAAACGTCTACTGCAAGCAGAGCATCCCCCTGGGGGCGCTTCTGCATCATGCCTGTGGGACTTGGGAACAAGGGGAACCAATGAAAACATGATGCTCATGCTGCTTGCCATGCCACAAGCAATAGAGTTCTTTGCTTCTGGCCAAGCAGTCTTATTCCTTCTGCCAGCACCCATGAAACACTAACAAGATAACTTACTAGCTTGCACTGGGTAAAATCCCAGACCCTCACAGCAATTAGATCACAGAAGAAAAAATATAACCAGCCAGTAAACACAAAAAGATAAAAAGATACTCAGCTTCACCAATACTCAAAGAGATTCAAATTAAAACAATAATGTAATATTTTATTTACTAACCTTTCAGTTGAAGAAGACTGACAGGTCTAAGTACCGTACAAGCATGAGAAAAAACAACTTTTTTTTTTTTTTTTTTGAGACAGAGTTTTGCTTTTTCACCCAGGCTGGATTGAAGTGGCACGATCTCGGCTCACTGCAACCTCCGCCCCCTGGGTTCAAGTGATTCTTCTGCCTCAGCCTCCTGAGTAGCTGGGATTACAGGCAGGCGCCATCATGCCTGGCTAATTTTTGTATTTTTAGTAGAGAAGGGGCTTCGCCATGTTGGCCAGGCTGGTCTCGAACTCCTGACCTCAGGTGATCCACCTGCTTCAGCCTCCCAAAGTGCTAGGATTACAACCATGAGCCACCACGCCCAGCCAAAACTTTTTTTTTCTCTAGGAAGTATACTTCTAAGAATTTGTTTTACAGAGATTCCAAAGCAAGAGAGTGTGTGCATACAATATATACGTATATACACACGTGTGTGTATGTACTTCAGTACTGTGTTTATTAATAAGAAAAGTTGAAACAAGTTGAATATCTGTCAATAGATTGGTTACATGTAACATGCAGATCTATAGAATGTATTTCTACATAACTGTTAAAATGAATAAAGAATATCTCTATGCCAGGCGTGGTGGCTCACGCCTGTAATCCCGGCACTTTGGGAGGCCAAGGGGGTGGATCACCTGAGGTCAGGAGTTCGAGACCAGCCTGATCAACAAGGTGAGGAACCCCGTCTCTACTAAAAATACAAAAATTAGCTGAGTGTGGTGGCAGGTGCCTGTAGTCCCAGCTACTCAGGAGGCTGAGACAGGAGAATTGCTTAAACCCAGGAGGTGGAGGTTGCCGTGAGCCAAGATTGCACCACTGCACTCCAGCCTGGGCAACAGAGGGAGACTCCATCTCAAAAAAAAAAAAAAAAAAAAAAAAAAAAAAGAATATCTCTGTGTATTAACAGAAAAGACATTTAGGAAATATTAAAGTATTTTGTTTAGGATAAGAACATGTGGGTTAATTCTATTTGTCTTGAAAAATAAAAGACTGGCTCAGATGTGTTTCCTTTTTTGGAAGCATTTCCTAATTACCATCCTCAGAACTGATCACTGCCTCTCTGTGTCATGTCTATACCTAGTACACTACTCTAACATAGGACTCACTATATTTTGTAATTACTTATTTATATGTTTGTCTCCTTTAGTAGACTCTAAGATCCTTGAGGGCAGAAATGACACATTATTTAAAAAATATTCCTAGCACCTAACACACTTTTGAGAACATAATGGGATCTCAAAAAAGCTTTTTTAATGAATAGATTGCTCCTTAACCTTTGTTTCCTAAGTAAGTAATTCTCAATCTTTTAACAGGAATAAATGTTGAAATAAACATTACCTCCACCTATACTTAAGTTTCTTTTCTTTAAACAGTGACTTGAGCATCCATATATGATGAGATGCTGGAAGGAAGAGGGGAGAACAAAATGGATATGCAGAAGAGGGCAAATGTCATGAAACAGAAGCACACGTTCTGGTTAGTGCTAAGTGACATATCCATGGCATTACACTTTTAGCCACCATTTCTTGAAATTTTCTTTTTTCTTGTTTTCCATGACATAATTTTCTCTAACTTCTTTTTTCTGGGTTATTGTTCCTGTATTTTCTCTCAGCCTGAAATACCTCATACCCCTTACTTTCTCACTGTCTCATGTTTAAATCCTTCACATCAATCAATAACCAAATCGACCACTACCTATCTCAGCCTTTTCACCTCCCCCGATGGAAAAATCCTTTCCCTTTTCTGAACACAAATAATTTTTTAAAATGGAAATGTCTTTTACAGTGCTAATCACTGTATACTTCATGTTATAGTTATTTCTGTACATGACATCTTCTCTGGTGGACACATTCCTTGAGGGAATGATTTCCATTTGGCTAAGCTTTGAATTTTCACAGCACCTGGGAAAGTGAATACATCAAATGTTCAAAAAGAGTTGCTGAATAAATGAATGAATAATTCATGAATGAATGAATGAATGTACACACACTAGGTGGTTCAAACCATCTCTGGCACATGAAAGATTCTCCACAAAGAGGTATAGAAGTTGAAAGCATGAACTTTGGATCAGATCTATTGGGATTCAAATCCTAGTTCCATTAACTTTTTCTTGGGAAAATGAATTTTTCTTTTTCTTTTCTGAGACAAGGTCTCACTCTGTTGCCCAAGCTGGGGTGAAGTGGCGTGATCACAGCTCACTGAAGCCTTGACCTCCCTGGCCCAAGCAATCCTCCCACTTCAGTCTCCCGAGTAGCTGGGACCACAGGCATGTGTCACCATGCCTGACTAATTTTTGTATTTTTTTGTAGAGACAGGGTCTCCCTGTGTTGCCCAGGCTAGTTTCGAACTCCTGGACTCAAGCAATCCTCCTACCTTGGCCTCCCAAAGTGCTGGGATAGTAGGTGTGACCCACTGTGCCAGTCCCAAATTAATTTTTCTAACACAAGTTCCCATATATGTAAAAAGGGGATGAGAATATAGCTACATTCATGAATTTTCATAAAAATTAAATGAGACAAAGCATTTTATTTAGTACCACAGAGTAAGATCTTAAGAAATGTTAGCCATTATTTACCCCTCTCATGCTCAAAGAACACTGTGGAAGCTTGTATGTTGTTACTAGAATCAGGGAAGTTGTAAGAGTTCTGATTATTAGATTTCTTAATAATGGATTGGACTTCTGGGAAGAAAATAATAAACTATGAATCTGGATGTTCAAGAACACTGTTCAATATTATTTTCTGCTACATACCTGTTAAGGTGTGGCCCTCCATATATGCTATGACTTCAGAGATAAAGGAATATATCATTATACATCTTTGCTTAACTACTCTTTGGACTGCCAGTGAGTCAGCCCTATAGTTTGACACTCATAACAAGCAAGGGTGGAAGAGATATGGTAACTGGAGTATAAATCCCTACAGAGACATATAAAAATCTCAGTGGAGGCCAGTTGCAGTGGCTAATTCCTATAATTCCAGCACTTTGGGAAGTGCTGGAATTATAGAGACAGGAGGATTGTTGGAGTCTAGGAGTTTGAAATCAGCTCGGGCAACTTGGTAAGACCCTGTCTCTACAGGAAAAAAAAAAAAAAAAAAATTAGTTAAAAAAAAAAAAAAAAAAATTAGTTGGGCATGATGGCATGTTCTTGTGGTCCCAGTTACTTGGGAGGCTGAGGTGGGAAGATCGCTTGACCCCAGGAGGTCGAGGCTGCAGTGAGCCATAATTGTGCTATGGCACCCAGCCTGGACAACAGATGGAGACCCTGTTTCAAAAAAAAAAAAAACAGAAAAAAAACACACACACACAAGCAAACAAACAACAAAAACTCAGTGGACAGGGAAGAACAAATGAGTTGAGAAAAAGCATATTAATAATTTAATGATATAGTCACCTTGCTGTGCTATCAAATATCAGATCTTATTTATTCTATGTCTGTATCAAAACATTACATGTGTCCCATACCATAAATATATATGATTATATACTCATGCTAAAAA